ATGGGGTGATTACTGCTCACGGGACGGGTATCAGTGACTATCACCCACAGGATTATGGAGCGATTACTCTCCATAGCATGGGTATGGGGGTACTAATACCACCCACAAGATGGGTATGCAAATACAGCTGTTAAACTAACAACAGTAAGATGCATATATAACGTGGAAATTCGGGACATTAATTGAATTTATTAAGAACAAACACATATAGTTATTAGATTTATGAAATTAATAATTATTTTGGTATATAAATTAAAAGTTAGTGAAGTTTTATGAAAAATAAATTATTTTTGCCTATTGCTACAGCTGTATGAAATGATTCGATATCAAACAATGCCAGGATTTAATTTTCTATAAAACACTGACCACAATTTGAGATTAAAGAAATTATGCTTCATATTAACTTTTTTTTTTTAAACAGCTCATTTCAGTTCATTTCAAAGCATAGTCCTATTATATGGTATAACAACCAGGTACCTAGTGCTGGGGATCGATCCCGGACACTCTGAGTGTGAGCTGAGTGCGCTACCTTCAGGAGGATTTGTTCAGTATTCGCAGGAAATGTCACATTGTTTTCAATTAGCATGTGTAACTAAAATCTGGCTTCATTTATAAATAAGAGCGCAGGAAGTTATAGTTACCAAGGTAATGAGAGATTATTTCTCTCAGTGAATATACACTGAGAGTTTACTTTTGTTTATTGTAAGGATTTAAGTATTACTGACTGGTGGTGAACAACTTACACGTAGTCAAAAAAATTATTTTGGGAGATAATATGTAATACATTTATTTTAGCACGAGATGCACGTTAGAGCCAATCAACGGCTAGTATTGAGTCGTATAACGCTCCTGGCCAATCACAGCAGCGTAAACAAAGACGCACCAGTCCCACATCTACTGCTGGAGGAGTAAGGTAGTTATTCTAGGGCTCTAGGTTATTGTAGGTGGTTACGTTAGGTGTTCTGAGGTTAGGGTATATTTCTTATCATTTATACAAAATGAACCTACATAACCCAGCTAATATTGGACATTTTAAGCAAATAAATTATCGATCAACTCAGATCATGACCCGAACTCAATATTATTATTATTTTATATAATACAATATATGTGTAGCTTAAAATAAGTGGATATCTGTCAATGAAATTCTTTTGGTATCCTGAGCTATGATAATATATATTATATATTAAAATTCTTTGAAAGACAACTAGAGTTCTCATCATTACTAGTGTCTACCTGGAGGGTATTCCGGGGATCAACGCCCCCGCGGCCGGTCCACGACCGGGCCTCCCGGTGGACCAAGGCCTGATCAACCAGGCTGTTACTGCTGATCGCACATATATACAGGGTATATGCAGTGTATATAGAGTATAGGCAGTGTATATACAGGCTGTAGGCAGTATATATACAGGGTGTTGGATGTGTATATGCAGGGTGGAGGCAGTGTATATAGTGTAAGGCACCTAAAATGGAGGAATATAGCAAATAATATTGTTGCAGTAATAACACCAGGAGGCAGCTCTGATGAAAACTCACACTCACACGAGCTTTTAAATCTCTGCACAAAATTCAATTTAAACCAGCAAATAATAGAGCCTACTAGACTGGAGAATACACTAGACCTCATCTTCACTAACAATGATGATCTGATAAGAAATGTCACCATATCAAAAACAATATACTCAGATCACAACATAATTGAGGTTCAGACATGTATGCGTGGAGCCCCAGACCGACATAATGAGACTAGTCACGAGGGAGCATTCACCAAATTCAAATTCAATAACAAAAACATAAAGTGGGACCAAGTAAACCAAGTCCTAACCGATATAAGCTGGGAAGATATACTAAGCAACACAGACCCCAACTTATGCCTAGAACAGATTAACTTGGTGCACTCGATGTATGCACAAGGCTTATTCCTCTAAGAAAAAGGAGGAGTAGATGTTAAAATAGAAAGAGACAGGCGCTCCCTTTACAGCGACGGAAAAGAATAACAGAGCGGCTAAAAGAGGTCAATATATCTGAAATGCGTAGGAGACACTGGTCAGAGAAATAGCAAGCATCGAACTTAAGCTAAAAGGAATCTTATAGGAGTCAGGAATCGCGGGAAGAACTAAAAGCCATAAATGAAATTGAAAGAAACCCAAAGTATTTCTTCTATGCCAAATCAAAGTCGAGAACAACGTCCAGTATTGGGCCCCTACTTAAACAAGATGGGTCCTACACAGATGACAGCAAGGAAATGAGTGAGCTACTCAAGTCCCAATATGACTCATTTTTAGCAAGCCGCTAACCAGACTGAGAGTCGAAGATCAAAATGAATTTTTTATGAGAGAGCCACAAAATTTGGTTAACACAAGCCTATCCGATGTTATCCTGACGCCAAATGACTTCGAACAGGCGATAAATGACATGCCCATGCACTCTGCCCCAGGGCTAGACTCATGGAACTCCGTGTTCATCAAGAACTGCAAGAAGCCCCTATCACGACCCTTTTCCATCCTATGGAGAGGAGCATGGACACGGGGTCGTCCCACAGTTACTAAAAACAATAGACATAGCCCCACTCCACAAAGGGGGCAGTAAAGCAACAGCAAAGAACTACAGACAGATAGCACTAACATCCCATATCATAAAAATCTTTGATAGGGTCCTAAGAAGCAAGATCACCACCCATCTAGAAACCCATCAGTTACACAACCCAGGGCAACATGGGTTTAGAACAGGTCGCTCCTGACTGTCTCAACTATTGGATCACTACGACAAGGTCCTAGATGCACTAGAAGACAAAAAGAATGCAGATGTAATATATACAGACTTTGCAAAAGCCTTCGACAAGTGTGACCATGGCATAATAGCGCACAAAATGCGTGTTAAAGGAATAACAGGAAAAGTCGGTCGATGGATCTATAATTTCCTCACTAACAGAACACAGAAAGTAGTCGTCAACAGAGTAAAGTCCGAGGCAGCTACGGTGAAAAGCTCTGTTCCACAAGGCACAGTACTCGCTCCCATCTTGTTCCTCATCCTCATATCCGACATAGACAAGGATGTCAGCCACATCACCGTGTCTTCCTTTGCAGATGACACCCGAATCTGCATGACAGTGTCTTCCATTGCAGACACTGCAAGGCTCCAGGCGGACATCAACCAAATCTTTCAGTGGGCTGCAGAAAACAATATAAAGTTCAACGATGAGAAATTTCAATTACTCAGATATGGTAAACACGAGGAAATTAAATCTTTATCAGAGTACAAAACAAATTCTGGCCACAAAATAGAGCGAAACACCAACGTCAAAGACCTGGGAGTGATCATGTCGGAGGATCTCACCTTCAAGGACCATAACATTGTATCAATCGCATCTGCTAGAAAAATGACAGGATGGATAATGAGAACCTTCAAAACTAGGGAGGCCAAGCCCATGATGACACTCTTCAGGTCACTTGTTCTATCTAGGCTGGAATATTGCTGCACACTAACAGCACCTTTCAAGGCAGGTGAAATTGCTGACCTAGAAAATGTACAGAGAACCTTCACGGCGCGCATAACGGAGATAAAATACCTCAATTACTGGGAGCGCTTGAGGTTCCTAAACCTGTATTCCCTGGAATGCAGGCAGGAGAGATACATGATTATATACACCTGGAAAATCCTAGAGGGACTAGTACCGAACTTGCACACGAAAATCACTCACTACGAAAGCAAAAGACTTGGCAGACGATGCAACATCCCCCCAATGAAAAGCAGGGGTGTCACTAGCACGTTAAGAGACCATACAATAAGTGTCAGGGGCCCGAGACTGTTCAACTGCCTCCCAGCATACATAAGGGGGATTACCAACAGACCCCTGCCAGTCTTCAAGCTGGCACTGGACAAGCACCTAAAGTCGGTTCCTGACCAGCCGGGCTGTGGCTCGTACGTTGGTTTGCGTGCAGCCAGCAGCAACAGCCTGGTTGATCAGGCTCTGATCCACCAGGAGACCTAGTCACAGACCGGGCCGCTGGGGCGTTGACCCCCGGAACTCTCTCCAGGTAAACTCCAGTAAACAGGGTGTATGCAGTGTATATACAGAGTACATATATATATATATATATATATATATATATATATATATATATATATATATATATATATATATATATATATATATATATATATATATATATATATATATATATAATATATATATATATATATAGGATAAAATAAGATTCGTTCGGATTTTAACCCCGGAGGGTTAGCCACCCAGGATAACCCAAGAAAGTCAGTGCGTCATCGAGGACTGTCTAACTTATTTCCATTGGGGTCCTTAATCTAGTCCCCCAGGATGCGACCCACACCAGTCGACTAACACCCAGGTACCTATTTGCTGCTAGGTGAACAGGACAACAGGTGTAAGGAACGTGTCGAAATGTTTCCACCCGCCGGTATGCAATGTATATACGTATAGAGAAATGTATGTATCTCACTGAATATACACTTAGTCTAATTCCTGTTTATAGTATTCTTCATGTCTTCATGTTAATGTTTAGGCTAATTTTAGCCTTAATGATCTACTTGAAGAAATAAGTTACTTGCTATACATAGAAAAAAGCGCTAAACCAGAATATGTCATATAGCGCGAGAGAAGTCCTATTGCTTGACTTTCATAGAGCCATCCTAGGTCAAATATACATCGTAAACCAATGTATTCTGTGTATACAGAACTTAAATAAAAATTTTGCTTACTTCAAGGTAGCGAAGTTGGCCATGGTGGGGGATTTCAATGAGGCCCAGAGCGAGACGTGAAACAATCTCACATTCCATAGCTTTCATTTGACACCCTCAGGCTATTATAACCTGCCACATCTTCTCAGGTCTCTCCTCGCTCATACCGCCACCAAAAAAAAAAAAAGTTACAAATGCGTGTTTATACCACGAAGTGAAGACCCATAGTGTTCCTAGAGGGAGCCACTAGATATCTAGGCTTGTACTCGGGTAAATATTTCCCTGAAAGCTTCTGAGGTTTGGCAACTGAGGATTAGTGGCCATGTTGAATGTTTGTGTTCACAGGTGAATTACAGGGCTATCCTAGATTTCAGTGGATTACCGAGGTAATCATGTGACAGATCCTTCAGTTTGGGCCATTACACTTCCTTTTACGAGTGTGGATTAATAAGGAAAGAAGAGAATCTGTGCAAGCGTATTTGCGGCGTTAAATATTTTAAATAGCACCTTCCATCAGTGGGCTCAGCCACTGCTATGTGTGTCAAGTGAAAATGCTTAGGTTCTCAAGTGCGTAGCCGCTTCTTTTAATATTCCCGGGCCTTCAGGGCATCTGTTGTTACTCTATAACATGTGGGCTACTGAAGATAAGGTTTGTATGAGTATTTTTTTTAGCAGAAAAATGGTTGAAGTTCAAGAATGAATGGCGTTCGGGGGGGAAGGTGGGTTGAGCACTACGCTAGTTATATGGTTTAGGAGTTAAATGATCTTATAAATCATCCTAATATTAAGACGTATCGACTGCACGATGATTCTTAGAATAGTTATTGTACTTTTACAATAGGAAATGAGTGGCTAAGAGCCAGTGACCGAATGTGAGTGCGTTGACATGTGGAGTCCCTCACGGAAATATCTTAGGTCCCTTAAAATTTTTTGCCATGTAAATATTCTCATTATATACGGACGACAGGTCATCCTCTTAGTGGCATAGAAGGTATAGTCATGTTATCTAATCTGGTGTGAAGTTATGAAGAGGTTTCCTTTCAAAACCGTAAGGACCTGGATTCAATCTCGGGCTGGACGAAACATGTGGGCAAATCTTCTAACATTGCTGTTTCTGTTCACCTGCCCCCCTCAAGGAAGGTTCCTTGATGTTGGTGAGGGGCTCTTGATTTAGAGAATTGGATCTGTGCTCCAGTTCCCCGAATTAAGCCAGAATGCCTTCCACATCCCCCCCAGGCGCTGTATAATCCTCCGGGTTTAGCGCTTCCCCCTGATTTTAATAATAATAATAATAATAATAATAATAATGTTCACCTGCCAATAAATAGATAAATAAAGAGTTAGTCGACTTGGTGGTCACATCCTAGGGAAAGACCTAAGGGCCCCAGCTGAATAAGTCACACTGCTTTGCTTTTTTTTTGGTTATCTTAGGTTATTACAATTCTGGAGTTAGCAGTCCATAGGACTTTTGAGGAAAGTGCCTGGATGCTGTTGAAGGGCTTTTTATCTAAAGAATTGGAGCTACCCTCCCTTACCTTAGAATGACTCTGCCTTCCATTCCCTGGTGTAACTAAGTATATTTAGGCACAGGTACACATAAGTACAATTATACATAGTGTAAATTACTTACATAACCCCAAAAAAGTCAAAGTGACATGTATAATTCTGTGAATTTTGCGCTTCCCAATGAATGCAATAATAATAATAATGTAGAGCTTATAATTTAAAATTTTAGTTTTATTAATCTAGTATTAATGTGTGTTTAACATAAATATGACATTCATGTATTATAAAGATAAACAATTGAGGACCACAGTAACAGAAGAAGCAGAAGAAAATAAAAATAAGAATTTATCACAATTTCCTAGTTCTTGCATTTGGATGTAGCAGTATAGTGTTCCTGACACCTCTAGTTTGATACTATTACAGTGTAGTATTTCCCTTTTGAAATGTCATACAGTTGGTGCTTGCTTATCCACCTGAATGATTTTTTTTAGGAATCACCATCTAATTGCTTATTTGGCATGTAAGAGAATGAACAAATCCTCAAAAAATGTACAAATTTGGAATTGTGGCCATTAAGTTTGCTTCCCTTCAAGACTGGCTATTCTCATGTTCTTCTTTCCCCAGTTTTATATTACGGTATCTAAATCATTTGTTCAACTTTTTTTTTTCAGTTGCTTTGTCAAATATTGCATTTGTCTCTTGTTGTATGCATGTTTGGTGTTTGTGTATTTTGTGCAGTTTTGTCAAGAAATATGGGTTTTTATATTACATTTTTCAAAAGCTGTTTGATATTTCTGCAATTGCTACTTTATTAACTTTAATACATATTTCCTTATTGTTGTCGTTGCATTTGTGGTTTGGTATGCAAGCTGTTGTGAATTTTTTGAAATAACAGGCACTCCAGAATAGTAAATTCCTAAATTATTATTACTGAAATACTGTATCAATAAATACTGTTCATTAATCTTTTGTATATGGTCGTTTGGTGTTGTGTGGGGAGTTTTTATTTGTTTGATAGTCTACAGTTTTGTCAAGAAATATGAAGTTTCACATTTCTTAACCCTTAAATTGCCAGTCTAAAATAAACATGCCCTTAGTGCTAGCAGTTTTGAAAAAAAAAAAAAATTACCAAAATGTTCTCTGATTTTAGAAGTGTAATACGGCAAGAATGAGAGATCTGATTATTACTTAGAGATATGAAGGTTTGATGGTGACATTGGTGAACATTTTATGGTAATATGAATGCTTGCTGCATAAAAGAAGCTGCTGTATTTAAAAAAAAAAAATATGACTTATTCCATAGTTTCAAATTTTTTATGGATCCTTTATGTATGTTTTCATGTCATATTTAACTTGTATATATTTGTTTAGTTACACTGAACATATTCAAACAGTAAAAAATTAGTGGCATTTACTTGCTCCCACAATGCCCTGCACAAAACATGATTTTTTTTTATTATATTGCACACATTATGGTGAAGACTTTCCTCTGATGTAATCCTAACCAGGTCAGTTGGAACCATTTTGGAGGCCCTAGCATTTTGGCATAAATTTACATCAACCATATTTTCCCAGCTTGCTTAAATTTATGTCAAAGACAGTTTAAGGATTACAAGCTTTTCAGATTTTTTCTTAGTAGCTTTCATCATTACACAGTATTTAACTGGCAGTATGTTGTCTGGGTAATATTATTTATGTTCATATTTTGTTAAAATAAGAAATGCATTTATTTAATTACTGTACATTTTTTCCTAGCTGGATGACGCTGATCTTAAAGTGTGAGGCAAGTGCCAACAACCTGAGCTGATGCCTGCTGCCGACACTCAGAAGCATCTTGAGCATCTTATGGCCTACCCCCAACACCAGGGCAAGTCTGGCCCGCCAAGGCCTGGGCCGCACCATGGTCCCCCGCACCATATTCCTCATCCTCCACCTAGTTCTTATGGACCTCCAGTGCCACATGGCCCCCATTCTGGGTATGGTCATGGACCTCCTAATCAGCTTGGACCATCCAGTCAACGAGGAGTGTCAGGCCCACATGGCATACCCATACAAAATGGGCCACAGGGCTCTGGACCACCAGTTATCTCTGGTCAGCATCGACCTCAAGTGGGAGCGGGACAACACGGACAACCAGGCCAGCACGGGCATCCGGGAACTCATGGAGTACCAAATCAGCGTGGGTCATCTGGTTCCATAGGTCCCCCAGCACCACATAAACCGCCTGGACCTCATGGACAATATGTACAACATCTGCCACATCCAAATAATATGAATGGTCAACGAGGCCCACCTGATGGCCCCCCAGGTGAAGTAAGACAGCCGCCTGCATACCCAGAGCCTCCACGTTACCCAGGGCCTCATACATTACATGAGGATGTGGACAAACATCTTTCCCAAGTTGCAACGCACAGTGGACCTCAAGTGCAATCAAGTAAACATTATCCAGGACCTCTTGGACAGGGTGGAGGGGGAGGAGGGATTGGTGGTAGTAATAGTGGCAGTGCAGGCACAAATAATGGTAGTGACTTAGGAAGATTAGAGGAAGAACTTAGTGCACTAAACAGAAATGAATTATTAAGTAGGACAGCACGTGCTGAAAGTGAAATAAGAGACCTTCAACATAGTTTCCATGCACAGACTGCTGAGCTACGACACCTACGTGATACCCACCAACGGCTCACTGATGACAATCAGGTAATTAACCCTTTGACTGTTTCAGGCCCCTTTCTGAAACTGTCATTCTATGTCGCTCAATTTTTGAAAAAAAAAAAATTATTTTTTCTTATGAAATGATAGAGGATCTTTTCCCGATGGTAATGACACCAAAAGTTCTAAATTTGGTCGAAAACTCGTGGAATTATGCTCCCGCGAAGTTAGCGGACTCGGCGACATATGCGTATTGGCGATTTCGCCGACTTTGAGCCCTATTTTCAGCCAATTCCATTGTTCCAGTTGACCAAACTCATAGCTATTTCTTTAGAATTCCATTTTATCTATCAGCTGAGTACAAGAAACCTCCCATTTACTAATTTGGACTACCCAATATGGTGGTCAGAAATTGGCAATTTGGCCAATTTCACGCAAACTAAAAAAGATGCCAATTTCAAAATAGGGTCCAGAATAAACAAGGTAGACATTCGTGGCACTAAAATAACATATGCTCTGTTCATTAGTCACATCTCTAGGCCCCTCTTATATTATTATTGCTTTCTATTTTGATTTTTTATTCATACAAAAAAATACAAAATTTACTGTTATGCAGACTACTGCATTATTGTAAAAATGGTATAAATAATATCAGTGCACTAGTGAAAGAATATTAGAATCCCCAGTTGACGTATATTGGACGTTTGGTGTGATTTATTTACTCCTGAACATTGGTAAAAATCGAACATTTCCGCTACTTTGAGCTCAGTTTCAAGGTCGTTTTCATTGTCAAAGTAATGAAAATCATCTCTATTTCTGTAATATGTTTTCCATTTTATCACCTAAGACCATGAAAATGCGAATACAACGATAAATACTATACGAAAATACACCTCAAATTCGGCGTTTTATTCCAAAAAAGATCGTTCTTTTTTTCTCATTACGCAATGTGTGCTGCAAGATTTTTTTTATGTGGTGCACACTGACCACACAGACCCATTCTCTCACATGTGGGCCTACCAGCTTTCTCCCGCTTGATTTGAAGCCACTAGAATTATTGAGTATACATGTATATACGTCAGAAACATTGGCTCGTAAGACGTATTTATACGTCGAAAACAGTCAGAGGGTTAAATGACTATACAGTGGTACCTTGAGTTACGAACTCAATTTGTTCCAGGAGGCTGTTCGAGCGCCAATACCAAACAAATTTGTTCCCATAAAGAGTAATGTAAATTAGAATAGTCCATTTCAAACCCTCAAAAATACTCTTAAAAAAGCACTTACAAAAATACCCTTACATAATTGTTCGAGTTTGGAGCTGTTTGAAACTCAAAGTACCACTGTACTACTGTACTTTATTTAATTAAATTGTTTTTACCCGAGTTCCTAAAATACATGTAAAGTATTAGCATAGCTGGTCTATTATACTTATATTGGAAGTTATCTAAATTATTGAATGTTGCCATTGCAACCAGAATCAAGTAGTAAAAGGACTTTATTTATCATCCCTAATATACTGTATATATATACATACATACCTACTGTATTGGTTATATGTACTACTGTTTGTTTTTAACTATCCGTTTTTTATGGTTTAACCCTTAAACTGTCCAAATGTAGATCTACGTTTTTTCAACATTTGAAAGTACAGTGGAACCTCAAAATTCGAACGTATCGCTTATCGAACTCTTCGAAAATAGAACCCTTTTTTCGAAGCAACTTTGTCCCTATTATCGAACTCACCCCTATTTTCGAACTGCCGGATACTGGACCTGTCCGGCAGCCTGCTCTGTCCGCGTCCCCACGCAGGCGCCGTGAGCCAGTTTGGTTTTGTTGATGCTTGAGTGAACACTAACCTGTGCTCTCATTCAAATTTTTTACGATTATTTCATTGTGTTTAGTGCTTGTGGGACTGTGAAATAAGCTACAATGGGCCCAAAGAAACTTGCTAGTGGTACCCCTGTAGTAAAGAAAGTGAGAAACACCATAGATATGAAGAAGGAAATAATACAGTAGTGGAATGATGTCCAAATGTTTGTGGAGAAGTACCACCCTGAGCAAGCTGAAACAAGCCATCTTTGCAACAAGTTAAGTGACAGAACCATATCTCATTTTAGGGAAATCTTAAAGAGGCACCAGAAACAGAGGACTGTGGACAGTTATTTTGTGAGACAGGGGTCCAGTGACTCTCAAGTTGGTCCTAGTGGCATTAAAAGACAGAGAAGGTAAGTAACCCCAGAGAGAGCCTTGATACCTGAAGTCCTCATGGAGGGGGATTCTCCTTCCAAACACTAACCCCAACTCCCTCTCTCCTCCTCTCTATCTTCCAGATGCCATCACCAATCTTCAATAAAGGTAAGTAAAATGTTATTTTATATGTTTATTTAAATTTATTAATACATAATTGAACACTATATTTGTTGTGTGTATGTAAAACTATAATTAATCTCTATAAAATGTATTTTTTTGTGAATATTTTTGGGTTTCTGGAACGGATTAATTGTGTTTCCATTATTTCTTATGGGAAATATTGCTTCGCTTTTCAGATTTTTTGAATTTAGAACTAGCTCCTGGAACGGATTAAGTTCGATATTTGAGGTTCCACTGTATGTAAAAAAAAGTAGATCTTTTTTTTTTTACATTTGAGAACGTGTAAAAATACTTTGATCTACTATTTTTTTTTTTATGTTTGAAAATACGTAAAAAAACGTAGATCTACTTTTGGAGCACTACGCATGTGAATGTAGATCTGCTTGGACAGTTTAAGGGTTAATATTGAGCTACACTCACTGGCATAACTATGGGGAAGCTGTCACCCCCTGACCACACTTTGCACCTTGTTTTGCCCATGCCTTTTTCAGGTGGCTTCCTGGCCTAGAACTTGCGCAGATTACCTCAGGTGTAGAAAATTAAAACTAAACACTTTTGGATATGCAATTAAATTTTTATCCATGAACGGTATATAATACCGACAAGTTGAAAAATTTAGGTATGGGCAGCATCTGGGTATCTTTATTGTAATAAAAGTACAATAAAGATACCTAGATGTTGCACATGTGTCTAAATTTTTCAATTAAATATTTGCATGACAGGTAGAGTATATACGTATATAGTAAAATTACAAATTGTGAAGGAGAGGCAGTGTGGAATTTGATCCTGTTGCATTTGGCAAAGTCCACAAACCCTCGTTGGAAGGGTTTGTTTGTCCTTGCTGCTCTGAAGTTTTTTTTTTTTTTCTCTCCTTTTCTTTTAGGCCTCGAGAATTAATAAAGAAGTCTGATTTTTTCTTTCTAATTGATATGTTATCTATATACTATATCATTAAGGTTCAGTACCTATTTTAAATTAGTGATTTAAATTATTCATCATTTTTAATGAAGTTTCCCCTCCAATAATTTTTAATATTATATTCAGAGGATAGCAAAAAAATTAGGTAATGGAAGATTGGATATCAGATTGGAGGGAGTATAAAGGAAGTGAATGTATTCAGTGGAGTGGACTTGTTAGCAGATGGGTCTGTGAAAGATGAGGCAAATCATAGAATTGATGAAGGGGGGAAAAAGATGAGTAAAGCACTGAGAAGTCTTTAGAGACAAAGAATGTTATCCATGGAAGCAAAGAGGGGAATGTATGAGAGTATAGTGGTGCCAACACTCTTATATGGGTGTGAAGCATGGGTGATGAATGTTGCAACAAGAAGGCTGGAGGCAGTTTAGATGTTGTCTGAGGTCAATGTGCGGTGTGAATGTAATGCAGAAAATCCATAGCTTGGAGATAAGGTGTGGGGTTTCCAAAAGTATTATCCAGAGGGCAGAGGAAGGGTTGTTGAGGTGGTTTAGACATTGAGAGAATGGAACAAAATAGAATGACTTGGAGGGTATATAAATCTATGGTTGAAGGAAGGTGGGGTAGTGGTCATCCTAGGAAGGGTTGGAGGGAAGGGGTAAAGGAGGTTTTGTGTGCAAGGGCCGTGGACTTACAGCAAGCGTGCATGAGCGTGTGAGATAGGAGCGAGTGTTCACGAATGGTTTTTATAACTTGACATGCTGTTGGAGTGTGAGCAAAGTAACATTTATGAAGGATTCAGGGAAACTGGTTAGCCAGACTTGAGTCTTGGTGATGTGGGAAGTATAGTGCCTGCACTCTGAAGGAGGGGAATTGATATGTGACAGCTTTTTAACTGTAGTGTAGGCATGCCTCTGGCAAGACAGTGATGGTGTGAATGATGATGAAAGTGTTTCCAATGTTTAATAAAAAAAATAAAAATAAAATCAATTTTTTATAATGCCTTGTTTTGGCTTGGCACATGTTCCTAAATTGAAAAAATACCCAATAGTTTGTCAGAATTGATATTAAAAATTCTTTATTTCAGCATGATACAATAATTGTATAGAGGTGGGTGACATTTAGGTGTACATACAGAAAGCCCCTTAGTATACAGAGCATTTCAGGCAAACTTAGACCTATCTTAAGACTAATAAGGCAATAATTAATTGATTACTTGTATATATGGTCTCTAAGTGGTTATAACAATAAATGTAGGAATTACAACATTTGAATACTTTAATAATTGTTTTAAGAATTACAGGTTGGCTTATGATTATAGGTAATGAGGATTCTAGCTTATGAGCATATTTTGAACACATTCTGGCTCTGGAGATATCTGACAAGGAGTTCCAGAATTTGGGTCCGTTTTTGCACATTGGATTTTTACAAAGATTAAGCCAGATATGGGATATGTCATAGAGATTTTTGTATCTGGTATTATGTCTGTGGGCTCTGTTGCAACTATCAAGGAAGTTCTTCAGATCAGGATTAATATTAGAATTTATTGTTCTGTATATGTAGGATGGGAGATTCTAAAGAAAAATTGCAAAGGTTAGTGGATGAGTTTGGGAGAGTGTGTAAAGGTAGAAAGGTGAAAATGAACATAGAAAAGAATAAGGTGATGAGGGTATCAAATGATTTAGATACAGAAAAATTGGATAACAAATTGGAGAGGAGGAGTGTGGAAGAAAATGAATGTTTTAGGCATTTGGGAGTTGACGTGTCAGCGGATGGATTTATGAAGCATGAGGTTAATCATAGAATTGATGAAGGAAAAAAGGTGAGTGGTGTGTTGAGGTATATGTGGAGACAAAAAAAACTTTATCCATGGAGGCAAAGAAGGGAATGTATGAAAGTATAGTGGTACCAACACTCTTATATGGGTGTGAAGCTTGGGTTGTAAATGCTGTAGTGAAGAGACGGTTGGAGGCAGTGGAGATGTCCTGTCTAAGAGCAATGTGTGGTGTAAATATTATGCAGAAAATTCAGTGTGTGGAAATTAGGAGAAGTTGTGGAGTTAATAAAAGTATTAGTCAGAGGGCAGAAGAGGGGTTGTTGAGGTGGTTTGGTCATTTAGAGAGAATGGATGTTGGGTGATGAATTTCAAGTTGCTGTCAAGGTGCAGACCCAGAAATTTTCCCTCATTATGTTTAGCAATGAGAGTATTTTTAATCATAATGTTTAGTTGGACATTACTTGCTTTCCTTCCAAGAATAATGTTGAAGGCTTTGTCAGTGTTTAGTGTGAGTTTATTGGTAGTCATCTAGGTTGATGACTACCAATAAACTCACTCAACAGTGTTGTTGAGTGATGCAAAACCTGGGTGGGAGATGACAAAAGTTGTGTAGTTGGCAAAGAAATTAGGTCTAAGCTGCTGTGAAACATTTGGAAGGTCATTGATGTATAAGAGAAAAAGCAGAGGGCAAGGATGTTTTCCTGTAGAATGCCAATGTCCAGAGGTCTTGTTGAAGAGGCTGTCCTTAATAGAGACATATTGCTGTCTGTAAGTAAGACTTGATATATGTAAGTGCATGACCTCTTGATACTGTAATGATCAAGTCTGTGATGTAGGATGTTGTGGTTTACTGTATCAAAAGCTTTCCGTAGGTCAGCAAAGAGTCCTGGTGATATTCATTATTTTCAAGTGCTGTATAAAGTAGGTCTAGCATTTTTATAATTGCATTGTTTGTGCTTTTGTTTTGCCTGAAGCTAAACTGGCAGGGGTTGAGAATACTTTGCTATTTTATAAAGGAGTATAATCTCTTGTGTATGATTTCCCACTCCTGTATCACACTTTCTTTTTGCACATTCTTATGAATGTAATATTTGTGAGGTTACAAGTAATACTAAAAGATAAGTCCATATTTGAAACAAAATTAATTATACAGACAGCTTTTAATGGTATTCAGGTGTAATAGATTCACTGCAGTCTCCAGGAACATATTTCTCACATATTTGTAGGAACCACTGAGCACCTGCAGGACTCTAACATTCTTCCTAATCTTTGATTAATCATCTTTCCTTGTTGAATCTTTATTTTTTCTAAGACAAGACAGAACAGGGCAGGGCAGGGTGGAAGTACATACTATATGTATTGGTGTATAAGTCAACCCATAAGAGTATGAGGAGTTAATTCAGTTTTAGGCCTACATTCCTTCGGTAATGTGCCATAATCTTATTTTTGCCTCTGCCATATATCAACAAGTTTTATACTGGGCATAGTAGTCAACCCTTAGTTGTAGAGATTTTTTTCTTTTTTAAAAGTTGACTTATATGGTGGCATATGTAGTAATTCAAATTCATATACTGTGTGTATCATTAGATCACATTCATGAAGCAAAATAGATATGTACAGTACACAAAATTGGATGTCGTGCTTTAACCTTTGGACATACATGTATTAATTAACTAACTCTTTCACTGTCCGTCATATAGATCTATGTCATTGATGTCAGGGTCCCTCGCATTGAACCACATTTTGAGCTCTTCCCACTCAGATAAGCTGTGAGCAGTAAATTTTGGTCTAGATGTGAGAGACTGGGTCTGTGCAGTGTGTGCACAGCATAAATAATCCTGCCTCATGCAGTGCATGATGGAAAAAGCAAAATTCTGACCTTATGTTTGGTTTAAAAAAATCAAAATTTGAGGTGTTTTAGGATAGTTTTATTGGCTGTTCCTTGGTATCATTTGATAGAATGGGAGGTATACTACTGAAATAGAGATGATTTTGGCTTGTTGCAGGACCAGAAGTACTGTTGCTCAAAATTGGGCTCAAAGTAGCAAAAGTATTCAATTTTTGCAAGTTTTCCTGAGGATGGGTAAGGACCCTCTACATCTCCCCTATCTGTTTTATGAGGTTTTACTAGGTCTTGTTCAATTATTGGGCTGCCATAAACCACGACCAAACATTCTTGGTTATATTATGTTATTTGAGTAATAGTGTAAATTTTTTATTTTTTGTGTGATGAATTCAAAATGGAATTGAGCAGTGGGATTGGATTAAAATAAGACTTAATGAGTGAAATCACTGATGTGTAAATTTCACCCAGACTTTCAACTTTGAGCCTGCAGAATTCTTTAAGTTTTTCTATCCAGTTTCATATTTTTGATGTCATTACTTAAGAAAAAGATTCTTTACCATTTTTTTTTTAATGTGGACACTGAGAGCAATTTTAATTTTGAGGGTCATGACAGTAAAGGGATTAACACCTCATGTAATTATATGCTTGTTATTTGCATGATTGTCACTGATGCAAGCTGAAAATGGTGGGTAACTACTGACTATTGAGTGGAAACAAGAATTGAAGTACTGCAGCTAAGACTGTATTTGTGAGTGGGATGTCAAGTGCATTCTTGGTGGTTGTTGAATTCCATGAAGCATGGTAATTTATTTTATATATATATTTTTTTTCATTTGTGCAGGAATTGCGTGATCTGTGTTGTTTCCTTGACGATGATCGACAGAAGGGAAGAAAGTTAGCACGCGAGTGGCAACGTTTTGGTCGCTATACTGCTTCTGTTATGCGGCAAGAAGTCACAGCCTACCAGAACAAACTACGGGAACTAGATGCTAAACAACAAGAACTTATTAAGGATAACTTAGAATTAAAGGTACAGTACTTACAAAATTATTGCTATATTGAAAGTATAAACTATTTTACAGTTTTGTACTATTCCTAGAAGATACTAAAGCAAGGGAAGTTAATTACAGTATTTTACAAATACAGTGGACCCCTGCATAACGATTACCTCCGAATGCGACCAATTATGTAAGTGTATTTATGTAAGTGCGTTTGTACGTGTATGTTTGGGGGTCTGAAATGGACTAATCTACTTCACAATATTTCTTATGGGAATAAATTCGGTCAGTACTGGCACCTGAACATACTTCTGGAGTGAAAAAATATCGTTAACCGGGGGTCCACTGTATAGCATACAGCACACTAATTTGCTGATGTTACTTTAGACTTTTGAGACCAGATAAGTAATTTACTTCACTCATTTGTTTAGACATACAGCTATAGCTGTTGTACAATTTTTTGTTTTCTTAAAGGTTGGTCTGTGTAGATCTATACATCATGAAAAATGCAAACATCTCTCCTTATCATGTTCATATACATTCCTTTATTGTGTTCATAAGCATTTTCTTTAACATTACATTTGTACACAATCTTTTAATGCCATGTTCACACACATTTTCTTAAGACAGTATTCACACACATTCCGTTTCTCTTCTTTCAGTAACCCTCAGACTATATTCATGTCATGGACTTTTATTCATCTTAAAAGTTAGTATTATTATTTCATTTAAAAGTTCATTGATTTATTTTTGTCTTAAATCTAGTACAAAACATGCTTGTATGCAGGAATTGTGTTTGTATTTGGATGAAGAGCGTAATAATGCTGCATGCAGTCACTGTGGACATCCCCTCATTACCCGAGATGATGGGGATGGCTCTTCCTCATCAACTAATGCAGATGAACCCTCTGGACCTCCACAACCCCCTACTCAGCTTCCGCCTCAGCCTTCTGCTCCTTTACCTACTGATATTCCTTTAACTCGATCATCTTCGAGAGAGAGACTGTTGGAGAACACACTTAACCACCAGAGATCTCCTATGAATGGTAAATATTTTTTGTAAAAAAATTCTTGATTTAATGTATCTGGTATAGTCTTGTAATAATTAGTATTATGGTAGTACATATAATAAAATGTTGGCTTAAAATTTTAAAACAAAATAGGTAGGAATTATTGAGGAAGACTAAGATGATGAGTAGATATTGAGAGTGGTTATAAAGACAACATATGTATATAAAAAGTTCATGTGAAGTGGCAGTGAAGAAGGCTGAGTGGAAGTGGCTTGCATGAAGGTAATGAGTGATTCACTTAACCTAAAATATTTTATGTGAGAGGCTTAACCCAAGTGGGTCATTCAGTGCAAGGAGTGGTGGAGGCTCAGTCTTCCTGTGTCCTCTAATTGCAAGACTGACATGCTGCCTAACTGTACTCATCTAATCTTTAGCAATGATAGACATTTTATTTCAAGATTGATTAGGGATCCCATTCATCCCAGTTTTACTGGGTCAGTCAAAATTATAGGGGTTGTGTCCCATCAAATTTGGTTTGAAATGTCAAATGTCCAAAGTATTTTTTTAATGCAAGTTAACCAAGTGTCTGGTTTAAGTAGTATTCTTATTTCCATTATTTTATTGTTTGTGTTTCTATGTAATTTTTTAACTGAGTTCTCTTTACTGTATTTGCAAAATTACTCTTTAGTGATGGGCCTCTCAACTAAATTTTGTTAGTGTCCCAATTTTTGTTTTTAAAAAATGGGATCCCTATCCTAATAAGTGTGACGGTTGGAGGCAGTGGAGATGTCCTGTTTAAGGGCAATGGGTGGTGTAAATATTATGCAGAAAATTTGGAGTGTGGAAATTAGGAAAAGGTGTGGAGTTAATAAAAGTATTAGTCAGAGGGCAGAAGAGGGGTTGTTGAGGTGGTTTAGTCATTTAGAGAGAATGGATCAGAGTAGAATGACATGGAAAGCACATAAATCTATAGGGGAAGGAAGGCGGGGTAGGGGTCGTCCTCGAAAGGGTTGGAGAGAGGGGGTAAAGGAGGTTTTGTGGGCAAGGGGCTTGGACTTCCAGCAAGCGTGCGTGAGCGTGTTAGATAGGAGTGAATGGAGACGAATCATACTTGGGACCTGACGATCTGTTGGAGTGTGAGCAGGGTAATATTTAGTGAAGGGATTCAGGGAAACCAGTTATTTTCATATAGTCAGACTTGAGTCCTGGAAATGGGAAGTACAGTGGACCCCCGGTTAACGATTTTAATCCGTGCAAGAGGGGTAATTGTTATGCGAAATAATCGTTATGTGAATGAATTTTCCCCATAAGAAATAATGGAAATAAAATTAATCCGTGCAAGACACCCAAAAGTATGAAAAAAAAATTTTTTTACCACATGAAATGTTAATTTTAATACACACAAACTGAAAAAGGCATGCACACTTACATGACACTTACTTTTATTGAAGATCTGGTGATGATTGATGGGATGGGAGGAGGGGAGAGCATTATCTTCTTACTGTTTAGAAGGGGAATCCCCTTCCATTAGGACTTGAGGTAGCAAGTCCTTTTCTGGGGTTACTTCCCTTCTTTTTTAATGCCACTAGGGCCAGCTTCAGAGTCACTGGACTTCTTTCGCACAAGATATCTGTCCATAGTGACCTGTACCTCTCGTTCCTTTATCACTTCCCTAAAGTGTTTCACAACATTGTCAGTGTACAGGTTGCCAACACGGCTTGCAATAGCTGTGTGAGGGTGATTTTCATCCATGAAGGTTTGCACTTCAAGCCACTTTGCACAGATTTCCTTTATCTTTGTAGTAGGCAACTTCTTCAATTTCTCTCTCCCCTCCTCTGAACCAGTTTCCCCAGGTCTGGCCTCTTGCTCTTGAAGTTGATCTATCAGCTCATCAGTGGTTAGTTCTTCATTGTCCTCCTCCACCAACTCTTCCACATCCTCCCCACTAACCTCCAACCCCAAGGACTTTCCAATGCCACAATGGATTCCTCAACTGGCATAATCCTCTCAGGGTTAGCCTCAAACCCTTCAAAATCCCTTTTGTCTACACATTCTGGCCACAGTTTCTTCCAAGCAGAGTTCAAGGTCCTCTTAGTCACTTCCTCCCAAGCCTTACCTATAAGGTTTACACAATTGAGGATATTAAAGTGATCTCTCCAAAACTCTCTTAGAGTCAGTTGAGTTTCTGAGGTCATTACAAAGCACCTTTCAAACAGAGCTTTTGTGTACAGTTTCTTGAAGTTGGAAATAACTGCTGGTCCATGGGCTGCAGGAGAGGAGTGGTATTAGGAGGCAAAAACTTCACCTTAATGAAGCTCATGTCCCCATAAAGTCGCTCTGCCACGTCTGTAGGATGACCAGGGGCATTGTCTAACACCAGGAGGCACTTAAGTTCTAATTTCTTTTCAGTTAGGTAATCTTTCACATTGGGGGCAAATGCATGGTGTAACCAGTTATAGAAAAATTCCCTAGTGACCCATGCCTTACTGTTTGCCCTCCACAGCACACACAAATTATCCTTGAGGACATTCTTTTGCCTGAACGCTCTGGGAGTTTCAGAGTGATACACTAATAAAGGCTTCACTTTGCAATCACCAGTAGCATTGGCACACATGAGAAGAGTAAGCCTGTCTTTCATAGGCTTATGTCCTGGGAGTGCCTTTTCCTCCTGAGTAATGTAGGTCCTGCTTGGCATTTTCTTCCAGAAAGGCCTGTTTCATCACAATTAAACACTTGTTCAGGTTTCAGTCCTTCAGTTTCTATGTACTCCTTGAATTCCTGCACATATTTTTCAGCCGCTTTGTGGTCCGAACTGGCAGCCTCACCATGCCTTATCACACTATGGATGCCACTACGCTTCTTAAATCTCTCAAACCAACCTTTGCTGCCTTAAATTCACTCACATCATCACTAGTTGCAGGCATTTTTTTAATTAAATCCTCATGCAACTTCCTAGCCTTTTCACATATGATCGCTTGAGAGACGCTATCTCCTGCTAGCTGTTTTTCATTTATCCACACCAATAAGAGTCTCTCAACATCTTCCATCACTTGCGATCTTTGTTTCGAAAACACAGTTAAACCTTTGGCAAGAACAGCTTCCTTGATTGTCTTTTTGGTGCCACAATAGTAGCGATGGTTGATTGGGGTTTCTTGTACAACTTGACTAGGTCGGCGATAACGCACTCCACTTTCATACTTAGCAATGATCTCTTTCTTCATTTCAATGGGAATTCTCACCCTTATTGGTGTACGGTTGGCACTAGAAGCTTTCTTGGGGCCCATGGTCACTTATTTTCCAGAAACGGCACCGAAAACACTGTAATAATACGAAATATTCCGAGTGTATGCTTGGATGTTACCGCGGAGGCTGGCTGGTAAACAATGGCACGGGCGGCACATGTGAGGCTGGCTGAGGGCGCACATTGGACGCGTCTCGGACGAAAATCGGTGAGCGGGTTTTTAATCGGTATGTGCGGCAAAAATTTTGCGATTAAAGTAAGCGGTATGCGAAATAATCGCTATGTGATGCCATCGTTATGCGGGGGTCCACTGTACAATGCCTGCACTTTAAAGGAGGGGTTTGGGATATTGGCAGTTTGGAGGGATGTGGTGTGTATCTTTATATGTGTATGCTTCTAAAGTGTTGTATTCTGAGCACCTCTGCAAAAACAGTGATAATGTGTGAGTGTGGTGAAAGTGTTGAATGATGATGAAAGTATTTTCTTTTTGGGGATTTTCTTTCTTTTTTGGGTTACCCTGCCTCGGTGGGAGACGGCCGACTTGTTGAAAAAAAAAAAAAAGTTTATGAAAAGATTTTCCTTCTATTATGATGAACTCTCATGCAGTATTCTTCTGTTCTCCTTGGGAAATGCTTTCCCACCCTAAGAGTGAGTGTGTTAGGAGTGAATGGAGACGAATGGTTTTTGGAACCTGAGTCGGAGTGTGAGCAGGGTAATTTTGTATGAAGGGATTCAGGGAAACCAGTTAGCCGGACTTGAGTCATGGAGGTGGGAAGTACAATGCCTGCACTTTAAAGGAGGGATTTAGGATATTGGCTGTTTGAGGGAAATCTAAATTGTCATATCTGGGCACTTCTGCAAAGACAGTGATTATGTGTGAATGATGGTGAAAGTGTTTCTTTTTTGGGTCACCCTGCTTCAGTGAGAGATGGCCTGCATGTTGAAAAAAAAAAAACTTATCATTAATGTGTTTTTCGAACAATCTTTTTCCATCGCTTCCAGGTGAGTGCCTCACCACCCATGACAGTGGGAAAGGTAGTAAGGATGATGCTTACCTTGAAGTGTGGAAGAAAAAAAACTTCCAAGTACCATATCAAGGTAGTTGCTTAGGTGTTTTTTTATGACTTGTGAAACATTCTAGTAAACATGCATGCACATATGTATCACCCTAGGCACCTCAGTATAAATACTGTACTTTTACAATATCAATATAAGATCCTCAGTTGATATGGTAGAGGTACTAGAGATAAACCAGAGAACATTCCATAGCAAGTCTAGAAAATATTGTATTGAATATTACCTGCCTGATTTATTTCAAATTTGAAATAGAAGATGGGAGACCAGTTTTGTACTGGAGAAACTACCTAAGAGTAATTTGGATCAAGAAGCATGTTAGAGAGCTCCTAAGACTCCAGGACAAGTTTGTGTTGAAGCCATAGATAATGGAACCAACTCAAAATGATGAATATATACATATTATACAATACTGTGAATTTGAACTTCATTAAAAATGAGCATCTAAATCATGGTCTCAGGTACATAATATTTTAAATCATAAACCTCACAGAGGTTCAGACAATATTACATATACACTATCCAGGTTAAAGCTCAGTACAAGGGACATTGAGTGGGACATAAACCAGAAACCTTTTGACATCATGGAAAACATCATGAAAATAATTCCGTAACCCCAAATCAGTGAATAAAAAAATTTTGTTTGAGAAATATATATAATCTGAATAAATTACTGTAAGTTTTATTGAGAGTATACCAAATTATTTCTGTATAGAATGAAATTGTAGATGGCTATTGAAGAAGAAAGTTAATTACTCGACACTCCAAATATCCTAATAGAATTTTTTTTTTTTTTAACAAGTCGGCCGTCTCCCACCGAGGCAGGGTGACCCAAAAAGAAAGAAAATCCCCAAAAAGAAAATACTTTCATCATCATTCAACACTTTCACCTCACTCACACATAATCACTGTTTTTGCAGAGGTGCTCAGAATACAACAGTTTAGAAGTATATACATATAAAGATACACAACATATCCCTCCAAACTGACAATATCCCAAACCCCTCCTTTAAAGTGCAGGCACTGTACTTCCCATTTCCAGGACTCAAGTCCGGCTATATAAAATAACCGGTTTCCCTGAATCCCTTCACTAAATATTACCCTGCTCACATCCAACAGCTCGTCAGGTCCCAAATACCATTCATCTCCATTCACTCCTATCTAACACGCTCACGCACGCTTGCTGGAAGTCCAAGCCCTTCGCCCACAGAACCTCCTTTTCCCCCTCCCTCCAACCTTTTCGAGGACGACTCCTACCCCACCTTCCTTCCCCTACAGATTTATACGCTCTCCATGTCATTCTACTTTGATCCATTCTCTCTAAATGACCAAACCACCTCAACAACCCTTCTTCAGCCCTCTGACTAATACTTTTATTAACTCCACACCTCTTAATTTCCACACTGAATTTTTTGCATAATATTTACACCACACATTGCCCTTAGACAGGACATCTCCACTGCCTCCAACCATCTCTTCACTACAGCATTTACAACCCAAGCTTCACACCCATATAAGAGTGTTGGTACTACTATACTTTCATACATTTCCTTCTATGCCTCCATAGATAACATGGAATAATATGGAATTAAAAAATTAGAGAGAAAACTTTAACACATATGCAAAACAAACCTAGTCAGGGTTTTTATTATTTGAAATTCAAGAGTCAGTGGTCTTTTGAGTATAAATTCTGAAAATTCAAATTTGAAAATTTAATCAAAGATTTTTAATTTAGCACAAGTTGCTTGAGGCCTGACCTTGACTGGGACAGTGATAGGCTTTCTGGGACAGTAAGATGTCAAGTGTATGCCTGAAACTGCTAATTCCTGAATGTGGTGTAGGCATCTGGTGGGTCTATCAGCTTTTTCTTTTTATGCCATGAAACCTAAATTGCCACCTCAGGCATTCAGACTACAGTACAGCATATGACTAGCCTTTCTGCCTTTTTTTATTTTTCTAGGACTTTGTGGGGTCCAGTGACCCTCAAGAATACGTTTGTTCTCTTACTCCCACTTTCACAAATATAATCTTTCATTGTGCAGTTCTTCTTTCTATTGCATAACCAGTGTGTATTATATCAGTCTTGTAATCATTAGCAAATAAATGTTAAGACAATTCTCACTAGGCATCCTAGGACTCGGCAACCATGCCCTCCTTCCCAGCAACAAGCTCTGATATATGACTGCAAAACTCACACCAGATGGATAGGTATTAGCAGGCAGAGGATTGAGCCCCTGATTCTTGCACTGAATAGCTCACACAGGCTTAGCATTTCTTATAAACACATTAAATAATCAGCTTTATAACTGAACTCAAATGCTCAAAGTGCCAAGTCAACCAGGCTATGATGGCTTTGTGGACCTGTGTGTTGCTAACAGCAGCAGCCTAGTTTAATAGGCAGTCAACAAAACTTGGCCTCCGATTGAGATGCAAGGGTAGAGGAACTCTAGAAATTGGTCGCAGGCTTGTCTATATTCACCATTTATTTATGACAGCTTACCACCAATTAATCTGATGGGTTTGGAATTTGTCCATAGATATCGAGTACCTAATCCTAATGTTACTTTTCAGCAACATAAGGATTACAGATTACAGTACAGTGGAACCTTGGTTTTTGTATGCCCTAGTCTGTATGCAAAACTATAGGTATTCTTTATAAAATGTATTTTTTGTTGATATTTCCCATAAGAAATAATGTAAATCCAATTAATCCGTTCCAGACACCCAAAAATATTAACAAAAAATACATTTTATAGAGAATATAGTTTTACATTCAGACTAGGGGATACGAAAACCGAGGTTCCACTGTACTTGTACTTCAAGTTTTCACATAGTTACCCTGCACCACAGGTTCTTGTAGCTCTTGCTGTTGATCACATTACTGCTGGAATAAAACTTGCTATAATAATGACAAACTTTATTTCTATGAATACTTTTAGTAGGAATCCCCAACCTGCAGCCCGATGCCTTCTTGGAAATGAATGCAGTCCTCTCATGAAATTATGAATTCACTTTTATGTAGGTTCCACACTGCACAGTGTCAACAGTTGCAAAATATTTAACCCCTTGACTGTCGCAACCCGAATCCTGAGGTGTCTCAACACCCCCCCAAATTGTTTCTTATGAAATGATAGAGAATCTCTTTACGATTGTAATGACACCAAAAGAATGAAATTTGATGGAAAACTGACAGAATTACGCTCTCGGGAAGTTAGTGACCTCGGTGATATTTACGAATCGGTGATTTTGCCCACTTTGAGCCCTAATTCCATTGTTACAGTCGACCAAACTCATAGCTATTTCTTTATAACTCTATTTTTTTCTATTGATTGAGTACAGGAAACTGCCCATTTACCGATTTCAACTACCTAATAACATGGTCAGAAATTTACAATTTGGCCAATTTACGAAAATTAAAATATATGACAATTTCAAAATAGGGTCCAGAATGAACAATGCAGACATTCCTGGCTCTAAAATAACATTTTCTTTGTTCATCAGTCACGTCTCCAGGCCCCTCTGATATTACTCTTGCTTTCTATTTTGAATTTTTATTCTAACAAAAAATAGAACTGTTATGTAGACAACTGCAATATTGTAATAATTGTATAAATAATGTCAACCCATTCATGACTGCATATTAGAATGGCTACTTGGACATTTATTGGAAAAAGACATCATTTGTTTACTTTTGAACATCGGCAAAAATCAAACATTTCCCCTACTTTGAGCTCCATTTCAAGGTTCTTTTCATAGTAAAACCAATCAAAATCACCTCTATTTCTATAATATGTTTTCCATTCTATCAAATGAGACCAAGAAAACGAGAATGCAACCATAAATACTATACGAAAATAGACCACAAAGTCGGTATTTTAATTAAAAAACGGTCAGTTTTTTTTCTCATTATGCACTGCGTGCTGCAGGATTTTTTTTATATGGTGCACACTGACCACACAGACCCATTCTCTCACATGTGGGCCTACCAGCTTTCTCCTGCTTAATTTGAAGCCGCTAGAATTTATGAGTATACTATATACGTCAACAACGGTGGCTCGTAAGATGTATGTATATGACCAAAACAGTCAAAGGGTTAAAGCCATTTTATACCAAACCCTTATTGCCACCTGTAATAACCACCTTTCACTTCTGGTCAGTGCCGGTTTATCTAGTAGCACATGTAGCACCTGCTACACCACGGTGATGTGTACACCGATTGTTAGAAATTGTTCTATACATATATTTAAATTTTTAGGTGTTATGAATGAAATGAACACTCCAGTTACTCATGAGCTAAACCCTTTGCAATAACAATATATTCATTATTGAATTACAACTAGCCACCTCAAAAATCGCTGTCATGATTTTTGGGTTAAAGGGAAAAGGGACAAAAAAAGATTTTTAAAAAATTTTGGGGAAAAAAGTTTATTGGTATACCGGAAAAAAGGTTTTTATGGAGGGTTATAATTGAAAGAATTAGGGGTAAGAAGAATGTGGTTTGGGGAAATGGCAAGGGGGTTTTCAGGTGGGTAGGGGATGGTAGTTAAAGTGTTTACATTGAAGATATTGTGAACAGTATTTAGAAAAGGTAGGGAAGTTTTTTTTATTTAGGTTTGAAAAGGCATATGTAGAGTGGATAGGGGAGAATTTGGGGCGAGTTGCAAGTACGTGGCCCCCCGGGGTTAAGAATTTTTTTCATTCCGTAGTAATTTCAGGTGCCAGTATGCCCGAATTTTTTGCCAAAAGGGAATTTTGTAAAGTGTTTTAGTCCATTTCAGCCCCCCAAACATACACGTACAAACGACTTAATAAATAACTTACAAAATTGGTTCGCATTTTTGGAATGATGTTTAAGGGGGGGTCCATGTATAGGGAAATAGGTGGTAAGTTACAAAAATGCTGTAAAGATTTTTATGGGTAGTGAGGTCAGGTTAGGGTGTGTAGAAGGGGAGGGGAGACTATTTCCCCGGTAAAAGAGGTCTTAGACAGGGTGGTGATGTCCCATGGTTGTTTAATTTATTATA